CCCTAGTTCATCCTTGAGAGTTTGTAAGTGATTTTGTGTGATTTTGTGAAGGCTTGAAGAAGGAGAAGAAGAAAGGAGCAAGGAGAAGAGGTGGAGTGCAAGATCCAAGGGCAAATCTGAGTTATTGGAGGTATTTTCGGATTTCCCCTCTTGTTTTATGCTTTAAACCTCCATTAGAACTCTTCTAAGATCTAGTTGATGCTTGTTCCAAGCCTTATGATTGCATGAATGCCCTAATAAGTCGAGATATCCTTGGATCTATTCATTGAGAAGTCCCATAGTCCAAATCTATTGCCTTTATGAGGATACTTTGCATATTAACCCTAGATCTATCCCTTTTATGCATCTTTTAGCCTTATTTCCCTTTTCATGTGTTGTACACGTAAAGTTGGAAACTTTACGTGGTAAACCAGCTTATTGGACTCAGATCTATCATTTGTATGTTTGGATTCAAGCAAAATCGGTGAAAAACAGTTGCATGGCGGCAACTCGGCGAGTCGGGAAGAACGACTCGGCGAGTTGAGTCGCGAGTCCCCGATTCCTTCATTTTTAGCAGTGTTGAGTGGAACCAGTGAGTTAGAGAGTGGACTCAGCGAGTTGAGGTAGACTCAGTAATGGAGGGACTCGGCGAGTTGTTCATACAACTCGGCGAGTCCAAGGCAATCTTCTTAAGATCAAGAACAACTCGTCGAGTATGTTCATACGGCTCGGCGAGTCGGATGAAGATTGTCTGAGTTCTTGGATCAAGAGGGTACTCGTCGAGTCGATGCCATACTCGACGAGTAGCAGCGAGTAGGATTGAGTAGCAGTGAGTAGGAGAAAAGTGAGAGGACTCGGCGAGTTGGGTGGCCCAACTCGGCAAGTCAGTCCAAATGAGAGTGACTTTGACCAAGGGTAAAAGAGTCATTTTACCCAAGTGCAGTGTTTAGTATTTGATTGAGTGTGTTTATGGGCTTGTAGCCGGGGAGATACAGGAGCAGCAGCAGTTAGCTTCCAGAGCCACACACTCAGCAGCCAGTTTACGAGGTGAGTTTCCTTCCAGTAGGGACGGGTCTAAGGCCACAATGCCGGCCCGTTCAGTTAGCAGTAGTTTCCGGACTTAGGTCCGATGCAGTAGCTAGTATGTTTGATGCCTTCGTGGCTCAGACAGGATTTGTATGCTATGTTTTATGTGTTAAGTGTTATGTGTTCCGGGCTACGACCCGATGTAGTATGCAGTGTTTGTGTTCATGCTAGATGATGTGTTATGCTAGGCCATGTTCAGTCAGTCAGTTTCGGACTTCGGTCCGATGCAGGGGACAAGGTCCCAGTCGATTCCGAACTTCGGTCCGATGCAGTTAGTTCCGGACTTCGGTCCGATGCAGGGGACAAGGTCCCAGTCAGTTCCGAACTTCGGTCCAATGCAGTTTCCGGGCTTCGGCCCGATGCAGTGGGCTAGGCCTAATATGTGTTTATATGTTATTGTATGGTATGTGGTAGTTTGGGGGAGCTCACTAAGCTTCGTGCTTACGGTTTCAGTTTTGGTTTCAGGTACTTCCGCAAGCAAAGGGAAGAGCTCGGGGTGATAGCATCGCACACACCACAGCTTAGCTTTTATCCTGGGGATTGTTTTAGTTGTTTTGATTTGATATAGTATGATACAGTTTTCCGCACAGTATTTTTATTATGAATGGGATACATCGCGTATGTTTTTATGTTATGATACTCAGATTATGGTTTTGATTATATTGAAAAACAAAATTTTTGGGTCGTATTTTTGGGTCTTTTCACTACCGATATGATCAAAACATTTTGGTAAATATTGGTCTCTCATACATAGAGTATTAGCCATAGCCATCATTTTGGCCCTACAATTCAAAATGAAGTTGATTGAGTATTATTTTCCACAAATATATGGTGATGAGTCCCCCAAAAAAGTTGAGCGAATTAGAAAGTTGACTCATGATTTGGTAAAAGAATACAAGCCACATGATGTCAATGAAACCCATTCTTCATTTAATACTTTTGATTTTGGCATGGATGTTGATGATTTTGGAGATTCTTTGGTTGATTTTGATTTATTTGTGAGTTCCACTTTAAGTGTTGATACTTACAAATCCGAGTTAGATTATTATTTAAAGGAGTATGTTTTGCCAAGGACTGAGATTTTGACATTTTAGCATTGTGGAAAATTAATGGTATAAAATATCCTATTTTGCAACAAGTTATTAGAGATGTTTTGGTTAGGCCAGTGTCTACTGTTGCTTCTAAATCAACATTTAGTACCGGTGGAAGACACGTTACTCCTCATCGAAATAAGCTCAATCCCAATCTCTTGGAAACATTAATTTGCGCTCAAGATTGACTATGGGATGAGAAGTTTGGTAAGTGTTTTTTATTTTCGAACTTTTTATTTTATTTTATGAACATACTAATATTTAATTATTTGATTATTTATAGGTACACATTCCAATAGAGAGAAACATCTTGCAAAATTTGAAGTTGTAAAAGATGATAAGTTTGGTCCAAGCTAAGTGGATTTTGATACTTAGTTTATGAAGATTTGTTGGCGATTGATGATGATGAAGAGCAAATACTTTTTTAACAAGATTAGAGTGAAGTTGTTTTTATTTTGGTTTCTTATTAAAACTTAAGAATTTTGTGATCATCTTTTTTGTGTTTTGTCATTTTTTAGAATGAAATATGAATCATTGAACTTTTAGTTATTGTGATTATTGTTTATGCTTTTTCAATTTTCATATTTATAAAAATAGAATTTATTTAGTATACGGATATCCACTGGGTTCCCCGAACACGACGGAGATTTTTTTACCCGACTTCGTCGGGGATTTAGCAGAGCGGAGGCTGGGATGGATGTGGGAATCGGAGGTCGGGGACAGGGACAGGGACGAGGATCGCAATACTTGTCACCCTCGTTTGCATCCCTAAAATAGACAAACAAAATTTGTCCATGCATTATTTCAAACACATAGCGGAACAACGTGTGCCTTCCTAGAATTTAGTATATACAACGTAAAATACCAGAAGACTTAAGTTCATATATTGTTGTTATTATTATTATTATATTATACAAACGTAAACAAATACATGTATCAATATTTTTAAATACGCTATTATAAAATATATAATAATTTTTTAAATATGATATATCAAAATTATTAGTTACACATACACACACACATATATATAGATCCGGTAAAAAAAAAATTTGGTAGGAAAGTAAGGAGTTTTTTTCTACATATTTTTTTGACGAACAAAATACATGAATCACTAGATGATTCATTTGTAAGATGATTCACAAGAAAAAATTCTCAAAAAAACATCTTTATGATTCATTTTTAAGTAAATTAAGAAAAAATTCATTTTTATGACAGTTTTAGTGAATAACAACAAAATCATTGTATAAATGAATTATCGAGATGTTTTATTGAGAATTTTTTCTTGTGAATCATCTTACAAATGAATCATCTAATGATTCATTTTGTTTGTTCACGAAAAAAATATGTAGAAAAAAAAACTTCTTACCTTCCTATCAAAAATTTTATTCTTATTTGATCATGACTCTCTCTCTCTCTCTCTCTATATATATATATATATATATATATATATATATATATATATATATATATATATATATTAGAATTTAAATACGATATAATAATTTTTTAAATACGATATATCAGAATTTAGTGTATATATATATATATATATATATATATATATATATATATATATATATATATATATATATATATATATATAATCGTCATAATCAAATGTATAAATAGTTTATTAATTTACAAAAACTTCTTAAGTATGTTCTTCTTAAATGTATCTACATTAAAAAATAACTATTTATACATCTAAAAAACATTTTTTAACAACTCTAAAAAAATATATCTATATTTTTAAATACGTAAAACTATGTATTTACACTTGTAAAAACATTTTTTTTTCATAAATACAAATAGATATTTTAACATATATAAACTTTTAAATATATAAATGCATTTTACGTATTTTATGCTTGAATGTATAAATGCATTTAAAAAAATTATAAATAAAATTTCGAATTAATTTTTTTCGTATATAAATATGTTTTTTTAACATCAACACTATGCATAAATATTAAAAAACATATTTAAAATAAAAATCATAAACTATAAAATATTATTCATCGCTTACATGGTAAGAGTTGACAATAGTTACGAGCTTCACCTTCAAAAAAGCTAAGTATAACCAAAAAAAATCCCAAACTTCTTGATAACATAAATTTCAATTTTTGATAAAAAATTTAATTTATGTGGTTTTTATGACAATATTTTTGGTGATGATTTATATTTGAAAGAGAATTTGTTTGAAACTTTTCCGAACATTCTAAGCAATGTTTTAAAAGTTGATTTTTTAGCTGAATTGGTCTGATCGATTTCTAATTCAACCGTCAATTTAAACGGTTTGAGTGTATCTTCAACCGAAAAATATCATAAATCTGGTTGCGGTGTGTATCGACATTCGAGTTGTGTATACTCCAAAAATATTCAACTTGCTTTGGAAAATGATTGCTCCTTCAGACTAACGAAAGTTTAGCTATACAAATATAATAAATCGGTTCAAACCATTTATTGGTTTTATCATACAGATTCAACCAAGTATTTGAAGATTCCATTCATTTCGATTCGGTTTAGAGATTGATATAAAACTGGTGGGTATTGAACCGCTTTCGTGTGGTCTAGTCCAACCGACTTTTTAAAACATAGATTCTAAGGTTTAATTAGTCTTTTCAAAAATACCCATTCAATCTTGAACTATCCGAAACAACCATATATGAAAATACCTTAAAATGCTTCAACTTCTTCTCCAACCGTAATTTTGGGAAACCTAAAAAGGCTATTTTAGTCACTGCATATTTAAAATGAAAAAAGGCGGGTAACATTCGCTCCCTAAAATCCGGATTTTTATTCTGGTTCGGACCTCTCTCGCCCGTTGCTACTTCATTCCATAGTCTCTCTCTATAACAGAGCGAGCTTTGATCTTCCCAATCAGTGATCATTTCAGATGCAAACCAAATCTCTCGAATTAACTTCATTTTTTCTGAAAGGTTAGTCAAATCCGCAACTTTCCTCTTTTAATTTTGATTCATTGATGTTCTCTTCGATTTGTTGTGGAAGATCGGATGTTGATTATAATTAGTAGGGAAGTCGGTTTTCAATTAATTGTTCTTATTTTCGTTATCATTTACGAATTGATTTGTAGAATGAATTTTACATGAATTCAGTGATAATGAACTACAGGTATTTCAATTTGAATTCGCAGCAAAACTTACAGACGAATCGAACTTTTGGATTACATCAGAATGTGATTATCAAGAATCATATCAAAGTTACGCAGTCAATCAAGAAGAATCAAGAACATAAAACAGAGTAAGAAAAATAGCACACAATACCTAGATGTTTACACAGTTCAATTGTAGTCAATCGATTTCGAATCTATATCCACCACAATCTCTGTTATTTCTTTCTTCTTCCTCTTTTTCGCCTTTAATGCAAATACAGAGAAATAATCCTCTCAAGTCTCTCGCATATGACTCAAACTGGAAGCTAGACTTAATCTTATGTTATGATATGCAGGTATTGAAGGACTATTGTTCTCTTCGAATGGAGGGCATCGAATCAAAATCACAGTCACCAGGGCGGGATAGTCATATTATGGCAGAAAATGTAGAAGGTAAGATCCTTATAGAACATGAATAGCCACAGAATCTTTCTATCATTATACAAATCAGTCATCGCACTAAAGATATATATTTACATTTCAATCTAGACACTAATTGACCTTCAACTTTCTGGGAAACTAGGGTTCAAGCAACGTGTCAAAGAAATCCTTGATCTGATCAAACAAGATGAAAACTTTTCTGAAATAACAGCCGAAATTTACGATTGCAAGAAGTCGAACTTGACAAAACTGGTAACCGAGTTATCACGCATGCATGGGGAGTTGGCTGATCAAAATGTTAATTTGATTAAAGAAGTCAACAAGAACACGCATAAATTTACAACACCTATCAAAACACAGCAAGTTGATTCCAGTTCAACCTCTCCTCAAGTTACTGAATCGAGTAAAAAACATGAATCCAAGACACCTATCGGTTTTAATTTTACTTTCTCAAGTGGAGGTGGTTTTCAAATTTCTAGAAGCGAAGGCTCAGAATCTTCTATCTTAAAATCATCCAATTCCGATTCCGCATCAGAATCTATCATGTCTATCAACAAGCGTCTAGTTTCACCAGTCGATGACGATGCATTAAAGGTAAAAGAAACCAAAGTTAATGACGCTGAAGAGTTATTGAAAAATATTTCAGTTCTTGAAGAAGAACTGTCTACTTCGAACAAGAAGGTCCAGAGCTTAAAAGACGAAAACGCCCTTCTTGAAACCAAGGCTTGTGACACTGAGGAGTTAAAGAAAAATATTTCAGTTCTTGAAGAAGAACTGTCTACTTCGAACAAGAAGGTCCAGAGCTTAAAAGACGAAAACGCCCTTCTTGAAACCAAGGCTCGTGACACTGAGGAGTTAAAGAAAAAGATTTCAGTTCTTGAAGAAGAACTGTCTACTTCGAACAAGAAGGTCCAGAGCTTAAAAGACGAAAACGCCCTTGTTGAAACCATGGTTCATGACACTGAGGAGGTAATGAAAAAGATTTCAGTTCTTGAAGAAGAGCTGTCTACTTCGAGCAAGAAGGCCCAGAGTTTATTAGAAGACAAAAACGCCCTTCTTGAAGTTGAGAAAGCTAAGGTGGCTGAGCTTAAAGTTGAGATCAGCGAGTCAACTCGTAGGATTGAAACAATGGCGAAAGTGATAGAGGCCTACAGAACGCAATTATTAACAACAGACAATGAAATTTCAAAGCTAAAACAAGAGCTGTCTAGAAAAGATATTGACCAAACTCAGTTTTTATCACTTGGTCAAACTATAACCTCGTTACAGCAGCAATTAGATTCAAAGCAATCCCGGAATGATGAACTGCATGAGAAAGCTATTAGATTCACAGCTGATATATCAGAGCGAGATGATGAAATCATAGAATTGAGTACCAAGATTAATCAAATGAGAACTGTTCATGCAGCCGAAGAGGATAAATTGAAAACTGATATCGGAAGGTTGGAAACGGAAGTCAGAGAAAAGTGTGAGTTAGTTGATGATTTGAATCGGAAGCATGATGCTGCTGTAATGTCATGTAGAGATGAACTGAAAGTGAAAGTGGTGGAATTGGAAAGAGAGGTGGAAGTGGTGTCGGAGGAGAAAAGGGAAGCGATAAGGCAGCTGTCCTTCGCCGTGGATCATTACATGTCTGCATACAAACAACTTCATCAAGACTTCGTTTCCATCAAGCGGCGTTTTGTTTGACTTCAAGAATTCTTCCCGAATACCAAGATTCAGATTAATATCTTGTTTTGGGACAATGGATGACTTAAATACAAAGTATAGGGGGGTTAGTTGTAAATGAAGTCAAAGGCTGGTTTGACCTTGACCATACTGAGATTCACTTGGAGTAGTTTTTTTGTAAGACCATACCAACGAGTATAATAATATCATTGATATTTCAATTGTGATTATCAGTTTTTGCAATTCTCCTCTAAGTCGGTTTCAAAAATGGTTTTGAACATATGGAACCATGAAACATTGCAATTCAACTTGAAAGTCATTTGAAAGACCAATATAAATTTTATAAAGATGTTTACTATTTGAAAATCTTTTTTTTATAAAGCTTTATAAATTTGGAAGGTGTTTTATTTAATTGTTTTGATACATTTCCCGTACATCTATAATTTATTATTATTAGGCTAAAGGGTGTGGCTGCGGTTTGGGGCCGCGGTTCTCTGCGGTTTTGGCCGCAGTGCGGTAGCCCATGGCCGCACTCATTTTTCTCTTTTCTCCTCTTTACTTGCACTCTCTCTCTCCTCACAACCAATTATCTTTTTTCTTTGAGTAAATTACACGAATGATCCCTATGGTTTGCGGTAATTTGCGTGCTTGGTCCCTAACTTATTTTTTTAACTCGGAAGGTTCCTATGGTTTGTTTTTGTTACGCGTTTGGTCCCTACTGTTTAATTTTGTTACGCGTTTGGTCCCTATCTTATCTAAAAAGGCTATTATTTAAAGAGGAAAAAATGATGGGATAGGTGAGGTAAGGTGAGGGGGTGGAATTAGGGGTGTGTTTATTTAAATAAATTAAAAAATCAAGGGAAAAATAGTCTTTTTAGGTAAGATAAGGACCAAGCGCGTAACAAAAACAAACAGTAGGGACCTTCCGAGTTAAAAAAATAAGTTAGGGACCAAACGCGCAAATTACCCTAAACCATAGGGACCATTCGTGTAATTTACTCTTTTTCTTTTCTTTTTTCTTTCTCTCTCCTAATCATTTTCCCACTCCCTCATTGCGGTTTCTAATTGATTAAATAAAAACAAATCTGAGTTGGCGTCTACGTGGCATAGGAGGGAGTGCGGTTTCGGTGGCACCACTCCCTCCAGCCTTAGATAAGTTAATCTATTCCGTTAAAAGATATAAATATTTAAAAATTATATTTTTATTGAAAGTTATATCATTGCAAAGCATGTACATAAAAACATCAAATCAGAGAAGAAGGTTCTGCAAAACATTTAAGAACTAAAATAGATAAAATAAACTAGTTATTTTTAAATAAAATAAATTTTGAAAATGTTAATCTATTCTTTTGGTAATGTGTTTGTTAAATAAAAGTTAGTTAAATTTTTATGTGATAAAAATAATAAGTCTCTCAAAGACTAATCATGGTAATTATGTACCTTAAAATATTAACTCATATTTATTCATTATCTATGTTACACCAAATATTTTATGGATATAAGTTATTTAATACTCTAAACTCTTACGTTTTTTTTTTTTTTTTTTGGATTGCATGAGTTATTTGTTTCGATCTCTATTTTTTTTACCTAATTGGCATATATCAGGATTTGATTGTTTCACTATCAATCGACAATGTTGAAGGTGCCCTGTAAAGGATATCGAACTTGGGGTGTTCGCTGAAATATTACGAGTAAGCTTCCATTTAATTCGTTTGTTGTTTCCAAAAAAAATACATACTAATAATGGTAATGTTTTGTCGAGTTGTTCCTAGTTTCTTTTTTTTTTTTAATAAATATTTTTTTCATACCTTAAGTATGTATGCATGTATACACGCACAAATCAATAAGAGAGACAAACACGATTACACACATTGTGCATATTTATTTAGCATAATTGTATAAAAGTTATAATGGAATTTATTTTATACCGTTTAGATTATCTAGACATCTATGTAGTATTTATCTTTTCCTTGAAGTCAGTTAGGTTTGTTATCTTTGTTTGGCTCACGTATAAAAGGTCATCCCCATGTAACTTTTATGAGATGTAAAACAATTGATAAACTCTTTGATTCATCTCTTCCACTGTCAATTTTATTATGGTATCAGAGACAACTATTTAGAAGAAACCCTAAAATCCGTCATAGATCATGGCAGGAGACAAACCAACAGGTTCAGGAAAAGAAACCAGTGGGGAGACGACTGATGTCAACTCGCCATACTATATTCACCCGTCTGATTATCCCAAACAGATGCAAGTGAATGATGTCTTGAACGATCACAATAACAACAAATGGAAACAAGAGATGACCAATTTCTTGTTGGCGAAAAACAAGATGGGACTAGTCGACGGAACCATCGAGAAACCAGGAGCCGAATCACCGATATATCTTGCATGGGTGAGGGCTGACGCTATGATAAAAGGGTGGCTGACGACTGCAATGGAGCGAGAAATAAGGACCAGCGTGAGGTATGCGAAGACCTCGTCAGAAATATGGAGAGATTTGGAGGAACGTTTCGAGAAGGAGGGAGCCCCATGAGCATACGAGCTTAAGCAAACCCTAAACGCCATAAGACAAGGAGGTACGACTGTTTCTAATTACTATACCAAGTTGAGATCGATTTAAGATGAGTTGCAACTCGTTCTCCCGACTCCTCGTTGTGCCTGTGAAGGATGTAAATGCAATATTGGAAAGATGTTAAACGACCTGAAAGAAAAGGAAAGGACATATGACTTTCTTATGGGTCTGGATGACGATTTTTCGATGATTCGTACCCAGATCTTAGCGATGAAACCCACACCCCCGTTAAGCACGGTTTACCACCTTCTCGTTGAAGATGAGCAGCAACGAGCAATAACAACAGGGTCAAAGAGGCCGAATGCCGAAGCGACTGCATTTCAAGTTAATCACTCAAATCGCAAGGGTGCTCAACAAAATCAAGGGAGGCAGCAATATCAGTCATCACAGTCATCACAACAGCCCTCTGACAAAGGCACTTCAAAATATCAAAAATCAAAAAATGATAAAAAGCAGTATTGTACTTTCTGTTCGAAAGAAGGACACAACAGAGATGGGTGTTTCAAGATAATCGACTATCCCGACTGGTGGCCCGGAAAGAAAGACAAACCACGAACCAAGACAGCATGTGTAGAGCTTGGGCCTAGCCCCATCGCAGGTTTGACTGACAAGCAATATCACTTGTTCGTGAACCATTTTAAGGAGGAGAACATTGTGGATGGTTAAAACAATCAACCAATGGCACATATGGCAGGTAAAATTGATTCTAATTGCCAATGGGTCGTGGATTCAGGAGCTACTGAACACATTACCCATCGAATCGATTTTTTAGAAAATGTCACTAAAACCCGAAAGAGACACCTGTTGTCATCCCTAATGGTGAAAAGGTGTCTGTTGAGGGAGAATGTGTTCATTTTTTGCCCGGTGGGATTAAAATAAATCGTGCTTTACACGTGCCAGATTTCAATTATAACCTTTTGTCGGTTGGAAGACTTACAAATAGCCTCAATTGTGCCGTTACCTTTTTTCCACAATTTTTTGTGATGCAGGATCTGTCAACGAAGCACTTGATTGGTGTGGGTAACTTTTCAGAAGGGTTGTACCGGATGGGGGAGGCAAAGAAGCATCAAGCTCTTATGGTCAATTTTGAAGTTTGGCACAAGCGACTTGGACATCCCTCAAATAAGAAGATTTCTACTTTAGATTTTATTAAAGATGTTTCAAATAAGACTACGAATTGTGATGCCTGTTACAAAGCAAAACACACAAGGCTACCTTTTCCACTTAGTACAATAAAGACGATTTATTGTTTCGAATTAATTCACTATGATTTGTGGGGAAAATATAGAACTCCTTCGTTAAATAAAGCTTTTTATTTTTTAACCATAGTGGATGATTTTAGTCGTGCCGTGTGGACTTTTCTTCTTAAACACAAAGATGAAGCTAGTACATGTCTGATAGACTTTTGCAGGATGATCAAAACCTAGTTTAATAAACAAATAAAACGCATACGTTGCGACAACGGGGGAGAATTTGTATCTAATGCCATGCGAGAATTTTATGCAAAGGAAGGGATGGTTCTTGAAACGTCGTGCCCTTACACTCCACAACAAAATTGATTTTTGGAGCGTAAGCATCGTCATCTTCTCGAGACAGCGCGAGCTCTCAGGTTTGAGGCAAATTTACCAAAGCATTTTTGGGGAGAGTGTATTTTAACTGCTACTTTTGTCATCAATAGAATGCCATCAAAGGTCTTGAATGGGTTGACACCTTATGAGATTCTTTATGGTCAAAAGCCTAGCTATGATAATATGCGAGTATTTGGATGTTTAGCATATTACCGTAGCACAGAAACTGGCGGAGATAAGTTCGAGCCTCGTGGGAGACCGTGAATATTTGTGGGGTATTTACAAGGTGTTAAGGGCTATAAGATTTATGATTTGGAAAGCCATAAAATTATCATATCTAGAGACGTTCGTTTTTTGGAGGATACATTTCCCATGAGCAATTTAGACTATAATGTGGAGTCTGAGGAATGTACATTTGAAGCAGGTTGCAGGACGCATGAACCCAACCCAATATATGACAGCGGGCCCATTGTGGAGGAGCCGGTGGATCAACAGGTGGCCATTCCGCCTTCGCTGGAGTCGACGCACGAGCTCGATACAGCGCCGTCATCCCATAATATTGCATCAGTCCAATATACCTCGCAAGCCCATGATAACGAAACTGACACAAAGCTAATTATTGAAAGTTCTGCCTGCCCAGATAGAACGACTCGCCCCGACAGAATAAAAAATCCACCAGCTCGGTTCAAACATTACAACGTCACACTGCCCCCAACCGTCAACCACTCACAAAGTACTCCCAATCAAGTCGCTTCCACAGTACATCCTCTCACTAACTATGTTTCATATGAAAAATTTTCTAACTCTCATAAAGCTTTTCTAGTGGCCATTGTGGCACACAATGAGCCCAAAACTTTCAAACAGGCCTCTTGTGATC